GGGGGGCGCAAACCGTGGCCGGCGGCACGTGCGCGGCCCACGGGGGGGCCAGGGACGCATTGAACTAAGAGTCGCCATGAAATCTGGGGAGATATCATGGCCCTCGCCATGCTATCCACCCCTCCCTAGTCATCACCCCCCCTTCTCCGCCGCCTCCGATATTTCCACCCAGAGCCGTTATTTGACCGTCCCGGGGCCGGGAAACAGCACGCAAAGGCCTAGAAAAAATCTGAAAGACTGGCCGTCGCGATTCTGGTCACGACGCGGAGACGTCTGACTCTCGGGTTAGGTCGGGCTCGATTTTCGACGAACAAAATGCCCAACAAATATTCAAAAAGTACAACAATACTAGAACATTGTCCCTCGACTACTTCTTGACTGTTACCCCTGCAGAGCGACAGGCTCGACTTCACTCTTGGGTCGTAACCCGGGCCTCCGGCGTCCCAGCGAGACGATCCCGACGCCCTCGGCGAGAGACGCAGCTGCTGGAGAGAACACGCCGAGGCCCGGGAACTCCCTCCGGGCCCGACGCACGCAGCAGGCCGGAGAAGCCACCTCAGGTCCGTCCCCAGGGAATCTGAGGGGCTTTGCCGGAGGTTGCCAGGTGTGCCAATGGACCAAGGTGCCCCTGCACGGCTTCCCCCTGGCGCCGTAGGCGACCCGAGGAGGGAGGAGGAGGAGGAGGAGGAGGAGGAGGAGGAGGAGGAGGAGGAGGAGGAGGAGAAGGAGGGATGAGAAAGGATGATGATGAGGAGGAGGAGGAGAAGGAGGAGGAGGAGGAGGAGAACGGGTCGCCTAAGCCCTTCCGAGAAACCCTCCAGGCACCTCCAGCTTTCCGTTCAAGTGCCCCAGGGGCCCTCTGGGCTTCGTGAGGGGTCCTCTGGAGGAAGCGGGGCCGCCATTGGGGGAAACCAACATGTACCGACTCGGCTGCCCCCCCCCGCACCTCTCCTAGGTTGCGCTCTGACCAGAACCTCGAGGCGCATCCAGCGGTGGCGGCGAGGGCCTCCCAGGAGGCACAAACAGGGGAAAACGGCCGAAGGGCAGCGGCATGGGTATAGTCGGCCCGTATCAGAAGGATGCGCGATAAGCATGACAAGAGCCTTGGAGGGCCATGTCGACGCCTCGCGAGCGGGGCGCGGTCAGCTCAAGCAGCCAACGCTCGACCGAGGAGGCAAGGCAAGGGTGCAAGGGGTACTCGTGGGAAGGTTGCCCATCCTTCCTATGCGGGCTGACTGTACCTTCTCCTCCTCACTGGGCCTGGCTACCTACCAGACCACCCCAACCCAACCCGCAGACCCGAATTTCGGGTTTGGGGTGGGGGGGCGGGCTTCATGTGTGTTTCTCCATGTTCCCCGACCCCCCGCCCAAACCACTCGAAATGGAGGGCAGATCAGGGACTTCGGGTTGGGATGGGATGGCTTGGTGGGCGGTGAGAGCCTTGGACATCCTGGGGGCACCCTGGGCCATAGGGTTAGGTCGGGCGTGTCCTCCTACAGGCGGTTTTGGACGAACCATACAACATAGCCAGAAAATGCTCGAAAGAGTCAAGCATAGTTCAAACATCGCCCCCTGAGTATTGTTTGAGTACCATTGAATACTCCTCTTGTAGAGGGACAGGCCCGACTTAATCATATGGGCACTTCGATAATGATGATGTTACTTGAGCCTTGACCACCAGAAAGAAGCTCGAGCACCAGAAAAATACCGAACCGCGCGGGTGTTCACGTGTCGGGCCACGGGAGACACTCGCCCCGACACTGTTTCGACACTGTTTCGACACTCTTTTGACACTTCTCCGGGTGCTCGAAATTAGTTCTGGGATGCGGTTCTCATCTATTTTGCTCCTGGCAACGATATCGGATGGCCGAGGCGGAGGAGGCGGATGAGATAGGGGGAGGAGGAGGAGGAGGAGGAGGAGGAGGAGGAGGAGGAGGAGGAGGAGGAGGAGAAGGAGGAGGAGGAGGATTGCAGGAGGATTGTAGGAGGGGGAGGAGGAGCCCCATGCTCCGCCCTCCCCCTAATTATTCACTCTCCCCCTCCTCCACCATGCTTGAGAACCACACCCGTCGTGCTCGGATGTGGCTCTCGAGCACGATGGGAGCAACACAACTCTGTGGCAGCACCCGGCGCGGCGCTGCCCCCCTGCAGACCCCGCGGCGGTCGCCGCCTCGAGCCCAGCCCTGGCCGCCGCCCTCGCCTCCTCGTGGTGGGCCTGTTGTCCACCACCGCCACCAGAAGTTGGAGGGGGAGGGGGTCCTGATATAACACATGCTAAGCCTGCCTAAGCCGACTCTCATCTCATCATCCATCCCCCTCCACCCCCAAACCCCTCCCCCACCACACCTCCACCAAACCCCACGCACACTCCTTACCCTCACTCAACATTAATAACAATACGGCCGCCTGTCAATCCTACCCCTACGCCTCCTCCGTCGCCTCCTCCTCCTCTCCTCCTCCTCGTCCTCCTCCCCTCCTCTCCCCTCCTCTCCTCCCTCCCCCCCTCTCCTCCTCCTCCTCCCCCTCCTCCTCCTCCTCCCCCTCTTTCTCCTCCTCCTCCTCCTCCTCCTCGTCCTCCACCTCCTTCCCCCTTCCAACTTCTGGTAATGGTGGTGGAAAACAGGCCTATCATCCTCGATAGCAGGAAGCGCACGTCCCGGCATGTGCCGCGACATGTTTGAAGGGGCCCAGGGACATACAAACAAATGCACACAAGTCCCAGGATTCCCATATGTGATCGGTTGTCGTCTTCCCCCCCACACTTCCCACATGTTCGCAGATGTTCTGGGAATCCACGATTACTTGTGTCTGTGTGTTTGTCCCTCCTAAATGTTCTTAGACCCCAAAACATGTCATAATAAAAACAAGCAGAAGTATAACAAAACACTTTGGCGCTCCGCGCGGATTGCTCGGATCCGCGCTGGACCCCCTCTCCCTGCGGAGCGCGCCAAGGGCGGCGCCAGAGGCGCCGCCGGGGGGGCCCGGCGCGGATCCGAGGAATCCGCACGGAACGCCAAAAGTTTATGATTATGGCTTTCTCCATCGCACAATGCTGTTTGAAGACAAGCCCGAGGGGGTGTTAAAACAGGACAGGCTCAGCCAGGCCTGTTCCGAGAACATTTCGTGCAAGCCACAGAAAAGGTCTTTGGAACATTCTGGGGTGGGTCTACAGGCCAGCTAGGACGCTTCGCCACTGCTTGATCCTCCTCGGCCAGCGCGCGGCGGGCCGGCAGCAGGTCGGCGTCGCCCAGGCCGCTGGCCGCGGCTTCCGCGACCGCCTCCCGCAACTCCTACAGGAGGACGACGCCGGGGCGAGGAGAATATCGGGTGAGGTTACATGGGCGAGTTCGGAAACCCTGCGCCCAAAACTGTTTTCAACTTTGGGGGGCATGTCGTTCACTTCCGCCGCCTTCCGCCGAGCCTCCGCCGGCGGAGGCGGCCTCGCTTTGCTTCCGCCGACCTTCCGCAGCCCTTGCCGCCGCCTTCTGCGGTGGAAGAGATGACAACTCCTTCGATCCTCGAAGGCAAGGCCCATTTTGGAACGCACCGCATCCAGAATCTGTGAGATCCCGCGGCTCTGGAGGATGTCTCGGGCGCAGCGGACTGCTCAGAGCGTTCTGGAACGCTCTGAGAGAGCTCTGGAACGCTCAGAGAGCGTTCCGGGACGCTCTGGAACGGATTAATCCTCGTCCTAGCCCCGTCCGATGTATGCGCAGAGCGCCTGTGCACGGCCCCTGGGCTGGGAGCCCAGGCAAGCTCGAACCGTAGAAAACCTTCCGTCTGGGGAGCGAGCCCCACGCCGTACGGCCCACGATTTCAGGCCTGTCTTTTCGAACTTACTTTAGTCGTCTTCTGGGCACATTCCGACCTGCCAGGTATCACATGCCATTGTTCGTTTTGCTCGCGGGAGACACTCCGCGAGGTATTCCGTGACACCACCAAGTGGCCGGCAAGGATGCATATATTAGACCACGCGTGCCGAGTCCGTGGCACTGCTGCGTTGAGTGGTCACTTGAAGCAAACCACCCAGACCTTCGACGTCCTGATTTTTGTCATGACGTCGACCCCCAGTGGTCTCGACCCATTCCCTGGGAGTAATTCTTCATCCTGAGTCGTTTTTGACAGTACCGACGCCCGGCAGAGCGTGACTTGTTTGTTGACTCGAGGGGCTCTGGGAACGTGTGAAGAGTTGCCAGAGAAAAATAGCATGGCGAAAGTCCCGACAATATGAAGTTGTGAAAAACGCAGTTGTCGTACCGCCTTCGGTGGAGCTCCATGTGGGGCCACGATACGTGCGAGTGGGGTGCCGAAATGGGCGCGGCCAGCGCATGCGAACGCAGCCATTGGGGCCTCCAGCGGAGCTTCCTATGGGGCCGCGAAACCTGTGAGGGGTGCGCCGAAATGGGCGCGGCGGGCACATGCGGGGGCCTTCGGTGGAGCTCCCCATTGGGCCACGAAACGCATGGGGGGTGGGCCGAAATTGGCGCGGCGGGCGCATGGAAATGCAGCCACTGAAGCATTCGGCTGAGCTCCCTATGGGACTACGACCTGTGTGAGGGGTGTGTCAGAGTGGGTGCGGCGGACACATGCGAACGCAGAAGCGGTGGCCTTCGGTGGAGCTCCCCATGGGGCCACGAAACGTGTAACGTGTGTGCCAACATTGGTGCGGCGGGCGCATGCGAACGCAGCCACTGTGGCCTTCGATGGAGCTCCCTACGAGACCCCGACACATGTGAGGGGTGTGTCACAATGGCTGCGCGGCGGGCGCATGCGAACGCAGCCTCTGGGGCCTTCGGTGGAGCTCCCTATGGGGGCTACCAACATGTGTGAGGGGTGTACCAGAATGGGCGCGGCGGACGCATGCGAACGCAGTCACTGGTGCCGTCGGTGGAGCTCCCCACGGGGCCACAAAACGTGTGAGTGGTCTGCCGAAATGGGCGCTGCGGGCGCATGCGAACGCAGCCACTGCAGCCTTCGATGGAGCTCCCTGTGGGGCCACG